ACCCAACTAAGAAGGTGCCAGTCCTGCCTTTTACAGTTTTGTTTCATCCCTTCCTCTGGCAGCAAGAAATCAGGCAGCGGCGATGAGCTACCTGGATGAAGTTCCCTTCCGGACGACGAGGACGCTCAATGGGGACTCAGGGGGAGAAAACACTTTTATCACCGCCCCGGCCATCGAGCTCCCCGACTGCGCCGACATCCTCATGAGCACCATGGTGAGTCGCCTTTGCTCTCGTCCACACCTGGGGGGATGCCCAGGGGAATGTCAGCAGTGTTCACCTTTTCCTGCGAAAGAAGGAAACCTCTCCTCCTGACTGATCTCTTAACTGGCTGGTTTGCAGGAGTGGGAGGCATTGAGGATGATTTGTGGCGGGTGGGAGTGAGGAAGGGGTGGCTTTGGGGTTGATTTTATTTAATCCTGTCCAAGTGGAAGGGTTGGGTCTTTCTGAGATAGGAGGACAAACGGCATATGCTTGCTTCTGGGGATGGGTGAAGCAGCAGTAAACCCCACATCTGGCTTTTCGCTAGCTCAGCCTTGCTCATCCCTCCCCTAGAAATGACACGTCCCCAGTCTGCAAGCCATGTTTAACATGAACAGTCGCGGGGTTGCTCGTTTTCAAAGATTTCTCCAAAGGAAGTTCTAACACACATGTTTTTTGCTGCCCGTGGCAGGTGGTGGTATGCACCCCTCCAGACCAGCCGAAGTGGTCCACTCCCCCATCCTACCCTGGGAAACCCCCAGCCCTGGGTTCCTCCTTGGCTGGGGACACGTCAGGGCTTCCCACCAAGGCCGAGCAATTGCACTGGTGATCCGAGCTGATCCGTGTCAAGGCTCATGGTGGTGTTTTCCTTGGGGAGGCTGGTTTGGGCCCACGGCTGACCGGTGGCAGGGAGCAGTACAAACAGCATTCCTGGGCTGTGAATGTACTCGCCTGCCTGTCTGGAGGAGCCCTTGTTTGGAGAGCTCTGGGACGGGCAGGGCTTGTTTGTTCCAGGAAAACCCTCAGATTTCACTCTCAAAACATACTTATATTTTAAGCTGGATTACGTGGAAATAACATCTCTGTCCTGGAATTATCTGAGTTCCTGGCACAACTGGAGACTCCCATGGCTGGTCCTGCCTCTGCCCAAGGCGGTATCTCCCAACTTGGTGGCTCAGAATCACAGAATGGTTGGGGTTAGAAGGAACCTCTGAAGATCATGTAGTCCAACCCCCTGCCAGAGCAGGATCACCCAGAGTAGGTCACACAGGAACACGTCCAGGTAGATTTTGAAAGTCTCCGGAGATGGAGTCTCCACAACCTCTCTGGGCAGCCTGTGCCAGGGCTCTGTCACCCTCACAGTAAAGAAATATTCCTTATTTTTAGCTTGAACCTCCTGCTTTCTGTTTTGTGAGTGAGGTATCTCCGCCAGGTGCTGCTAACTGGTCCCCTTCCACAGCAACCAAACTGACACAAAACCACCTCCGAGCATAAAACACCTAGTCAAAGATACAACTCAAAATAGTAATTATTTTTTCCCCAAGTATAAATTTGGGGATTCCCTACAGGGATGAGGCTGGCCCAGCCCGATCCTACAGCCGTAGTGCCCTCGCCAAGCACGCGGTCTGGTTTCAGACACCCTCACCAACTGCTTCCTGCTCTTCCACAGCACGACTTCTCACTGGAACGAAAAGTGCTTTACTGGGTCGAGGTGGCTTCTCAGCAGCAACCCTCCCGGCATCGAGTCACCTCTGAAGTCGTCCCCACTGCCCCGCCGTGCTGGTTGCTGCTGGTGGAGCCCTCCGACAGCTACGGGGGGAGAGCGAGGGACGGGGCGGTGCGACGCAGCATCAGCCTGAGCGCTGCCGACAGCGGCTACGGGCACGCCAAGGGCAGAGCCGCCTCGTCCGACAGCGAGAGTGAGACCTGGCACTCGGGGGAGGACGAGTACTCCGAGGACGACGAGTACTCCTCGACCTCCTGGGAAGACAACGACAAGGATGAAAAGGTCTCCAGGAGGAGAAACAGTGGGAAAGTTGTGCCTCCGCGTCCCAGCTTTTACCTGGCCCGACCAAAGACGTCACCCAGCTTGCTGGAGCCCTCGCCAGAGAACAGCAGCCGTGACTCAGCCAGCTCAGACCCAAGCAAGCAGAGAAGATCCATGGTGATATTTAACAACATGAAGAATGAGCTGGAAGCAGCCAGGAGGAAGCTGGCAGCTTTGGTGCATCCCTTGAACAGAGCTGTCACAGAGAGCAAGGGGATCCCGGAGCCACGGCTGCTCCCCTTGCGTCCCCAAACCAGCCGCAGCGTCAAGTACAGGCCGGCCCCGGACACGTCCCACCTGGGCACCTTGGTACCAGCTCCTCCGGCCACGGCCGCGCCGGTGCCCCCGATCAAACGGCACAAACCCACGGTGCCGGTGAGGTGTTTTCTTCTGGTAGCCCTTTGCTTGTTGCTGGGACAGGAGGGAGGTGGAGGGTGTTGAATTCATCCTGTTTGCTGGGGTCTGGCCAGCAAAGCGGAACCAAAATGGGACTTTGGGAACACTGAACCCGGGAGAAACTGCTGAGGAGTTTTCAGGTTTTTGCCAGAGTTTAAAGGCAAGCTTTGTGGGAGCACGTTTACTTCTATCCTAACCAAAAGTCCCAACAGGCAAGGCATCTTATTTAATTTTCAGTTCCAACACTAAAAAGGAAGAAATTAAGTAGTTCTTTTCTCTCTTTCCATTTTTCCCCTGCTAGTGGGGTTTATGGGGAAATGCCCCCTTACAGCCATCACATCTTTTCTAGGAAACTTCACCAGGCACACGGAAGGCCGGGTTATTTATTTGTAGTCGCATCAGACATAGGGTGATAAAGGGAAGGTGAATGCCCGTGTGTATCCGTACACCTCCCACCCTGCTCGGCTGCTTTTCCCTGTGTGTCATGCTGAATGCCAAAGCCTCAACTCCAGGGAAGTTTGTGCATGTGCAGGGGCATTTCTAGAGATGACCTTGTGACAGAAACCTAAATACACCTAAAGAACATCACGGGCATAAACGGGTTGTGAAAGGGACATCCTCCTGCCCGGGCTGCTGCATCGCCTGTCCACAGGCAGCGCTGCCTCTTGCACGGCCAGTCAAGGACAAATGTGATAGTTACTGCTGAAGGGATGATCAGGATTCCCAGGGAAAGGATGCTGCTTCTGCTCGCCTTGCCCATGAACCCTCCTGAGCTCTCTTTTCTCTGAACTGTATCTATAGCTCAGTCTGGGTTTAATTAAATCCAGTCTCCTTTGATGCCCAAGGGGTTTTGTCCCATGTATGGGAAATTCTCCCATTCTGGAGAGAGCAAGGTAACTGCTGGCGCTTGAAAGTATTGTTTCAGCCTGGATTTTATAACATCGTTTCGTGAGCTGGAGCAAGAAGACAATCTGCTGTTTTGGTTTTTTTTCTTGCAGTCTCTCAGCCCCTACGCCAGCCTCCCCCCTGCCTCTGTGCCTGCGCGACCTCTCAGTTCCCACAGATCCCAGCCGGATTCGGCCGCTGACCTGCTCTCGGCGCTGAGCCAGGAGGAGCGAGACCTCATCGAGCCCGTTACAGCCTTGGGCTACCCCACCCGCAAAGCCATCCTCACGCTCCAGAAGACTGGGAAGCAAAGCTTAAGTCAGGTTGGTAGAGCTGGCACAGTGCTGCGGGAAGCTTTTTGGTAAAGAAAAACTTGATTTTCCTGGAGAAAGCGACGGCAGTCTTGCTTGGGGTGGAATTCTGATGGCCTTAGGTTTCCCACTTTGGTTTCAGACCTCAGCTGACAGGGTTGTCTGTGAGATCACACGTGTGCATTTGTGCTGTAATAAAATAGCAATGAGTTTCTCTCAGCTTTTCAGCGAGTAATAAAGGCCGGGTCGCATTATCTGTTCAATCTGTTGTATGGAGCATGGTGTCCTTTTGAAGTACAAATTTTGCCCTGTATATGGAAACTTTTTGCACATCATTTTTCCCCGGCTGTTAGATTCGTATGATTATTGCCATGGCTCATCCTGTCAGAGCGGGACTGGACGAATTCCTCAGAGATTTGTCTGGGTTCTCTCCAAAACACAAGCTCCCTGCCTTGGAGCAACCAAGGACTCCGTGGAGGCATCAAGGCTGGGTCCCAGAGCCCTTTTTCTGAGGAACCATCTATATTAACCTGGAATTTATTGAAAATAATTAACATATAACCTCTTCCTACCCCTGGTATCTGAGTACATCACAGCCCGCTGTGCTGCATCCCCATTCCCAAGGTCTCTGCTTCTCCAGACAAGCCCTTTGTGGTCTAGGTGGGCTCGGAGCATCCGTGCCACAAGGGATGCTGCCGGCTCTGACTCTCTGGCTTGGCAGCCTTGGGGCTGGACTTTCCCATCCCAGCAGAGGATTCAACAGGGCAAAATTATCCGAATAGCTCTCACAGAGAGTGAGAGGGCTAAATTGCAGCTTAGTAAGAGAGACAACCACTCTAGGGAGCGGGAGCAGACCCCGGGCGGAGGTGAGAGCACATGGCACCGAGGAGCCGCCGTCAGGTTCCGTCTCCTTCCCGGGGAGCTGCCTGTGCTGCTGCGTGGGCCAGCTCTTTCCCAGCTGGTCGGCTCACGAAGCTGCTCTGTGGCTGAGTCATCCCGCAGCTTCTGGCTCCCTCCTGAGCCACCCCCAGCTGGACCAGCCTCCCCAGACCCTCGCTGGTGTTTTAAGTGGTCGTCGCTGCAAGCTGGGGTGGGAAGGGAAGTTTTATTTCTTAAATCTATGAAGGTTTCATCGAGGCAGAGGAAGAAGGGCAGAGCCCCAGCAGTTCCCATCTTTCCCATTTATGCCCAGTACAGCCTTTCGAGTGTCTCTTGCAAGTACAGAACGACCAAATTAGGCTAAACCTTCCTGAAAAATATGTTAAAAACAAAAGCTGTGGGTGCTCTTCATTGCTTGCTGGTGTCACACAGGGTTTCAGTGTGTGACGACGACAGCTTCAACCGTGAAGATTAATCGTAGTACCAGATGGTAGCCAAAAATTGCTCCATTTCTTTGCAGTATTAAGTCAAGCTGGCAGAGCCCACGCTGGTGGAGAAGGCAAGTCTGCTGCCTTAAGGAGGTGATACCTTCTCAATTTTGATGGTAGAGCCTCTCTAAAGGGCTCAAGCAGGATTAGTTGCCCCAACACACCCAAGGTTCACCGTCTAGGATGTCGTGGCCAAGGGCTGAACCAAAAATGCGTCACTGCATTTTGATCAGTGGTGACTGATCCATCAAAAATACATCGTTGATCCGTGGAGCTCTCAGTGTACACGTGAGCTGAGACAGGACGGATCATCCATCTCCCCAAAATCGCTGTGAGCGTGGGGTTCTGAGCAGGGTGTTCACCACAGGACACAGCCCACAGAGGAGGAGCCTCTTCCCATGGACTGCTGGACTCTTATGAAATCAATAAGACCGCAAAATCTGTGCCCAGCTGTGCTTCCATCATGGGTTCCTGCCTATTTCCTCCTCCAAAAAGACGCGTTATCTTAACCCGAAGCGACAATCTAGAAAACACAACCGTGACCTGGGGTTTTTAGTTAGTAAGGTAAGGAGGAAAATAAAAATGGGTTATGAATGCCAGAGATGAGTGACTCTCATTTTTGAGTTGATAAGCTGCTTCTTAAGGCTGGCATTTCTTAAAAGCCTTACTCTGTTGTTTATAACCGTACAAGATCAGCGAGATGCTGGAGGGGCTTTTTTGGCTTTTTCGTGTTTTGTTGTCTTTTGCTGAGCCCTTCTCCTTGGCCGTGGCGGTGCTGGGCAGGGTGGAGGTCTGTGCGCTGGTGGAGCTGGGGAGATGTGAATCAGCTTCTGCTTGGGTGGAGATGGCACCGCTCTGGGGAGGCCGTGGGATGTTTCGATTCCCCCTGCTATTGTATAGCTCATTTATTGTTGCCTGTCTCACATGTTTTCGGACAGTGAATGATTCTCGTGGTATTTAAAAGATACCGCTGGGAATAGTGCTGTCAGCACTCCAAGAACAACGAGAAAAGCCAAAAATAACTGTTTACTTTCAGTAATGACAGCACACGGGTCTCCCCTGGGGTGGGTTTTGTGCTCGGACCCTGGAGCGAACCCGTGAGCGCCCGAATCCCTGCACATCGATGCCAGGTCGGCCGAGGGTGGACGTCTCACCCGAACAGGCTCTGCTTCACCACGCGGCCTGGAGGCCATCGCTTCGCATCGCAGGTGGTTCAGATGCTCATCCTCCCTCTTGCCTTGTTCTCATTCACAGAATCACAGAATGTTTGGGGTTGGAAGGGACCTCTGAAGATCATCTCGTCCAACCTTCATCCCAGCACACCTAACCACTACACCACAGCCTCAAGTGCTAGATCTACTTTTTTTTTAAACACCTCCAGGGCTGGTGACTCCACCACCTCCCTGGGCAGCCTGTTCCAGTGCCTCACCACTCGTTCAGTAAAGAACTTCCTCCGAATATCCAATCTAAACTTACCCTGACGCAACTTGAGGCCTACCCTGGGAGAGTGAGGAGGACCGAGATGTTGTCTTCTCCCAGTGGGAGTCCTGATGGACACACCGCCCTGGTTGATTGGACAGGAACCAGCAGGATGGTGGGGGCCCAGCTCCTCCCCATGAGTGTGTCCCTGACAAGGACACTCACTCTGCAAGGTTCAACTAACCCAGTTGTCTTCTTCTGCAGTTCCTAAGCTACCTGCATGCCTGTGACCGGCTGCTGAAGCAGGGCTACGAGGAAGGGCAGGTGGAGGAGGCCATGGAAATGTTCCAGTACTCGGAGAAAAAGGTCAGAGCGGGATGGCACAGCCCGAACCCTTGTGCTGTGTCCTCTGGGCTCGCTTTTCCGGCAGGCTGCCTGCTCTCTCCTGCCCCGCTGCCCCTCACACAGCTTCTTGGCAACTCGGACCCATCGCCCTGCAAGCAGCGAGCCCGTGCTCGTGGCAAAGCCCTGGAGCACCGTCGCGGGAAGGACGCCTGCTCTGTTGCTTTTCTCCATCCGTCCTCTCACCCCACCCTGCGAGCACAATGCTTGCTCAGCCCCTGCACAGGGAATCCCCCAGCCCGAGCCCACCAGCACCCACGCTCGCTACCTCCCTCCCAGCTCCCCTTTTGCATTCACCCCCCAGGGAGAAGAATTGTGGCGGCACATCGGGTCTTAATCATTAATCTCCTCCTGGGGGTAATGAAGAGCTTTGCGGGGTTAGAACTGCTTGAAATTCAGGCTCATAAGATTTTGGTGCAGGATTGCTGGGCTCATCACTGCTCGTGGCAGAGGGTGAATGCCTGGCTCTTGGTGTCAGGCAAGGGGTTATTTTTTGAGGACACAGCACTGGGAGATGTTGTGGTGCTGGGACCCAGCGGGAACAAGGAGGGGGAAGCAGGACAAATTAATTCCAGCTTGCACTCCCCACTTTTTCACGGTCTGTAACGCAGGCAAACACTTGCATGGAATTCCTGTTAAGCTTTGTAAGGAATACATGAAGCTAGAGGCTGATTTTATTAAATATTTCTTATTGAAGGAGTGGATGTAAAGGCACCCTTTTCCACGCTAGCTGTGGTGTGTGTGCCCTCGCTCTGCTGCCAGGGTACCCTTCGGCGGTAACACAACCCGGCCAGAGCGTCTGGCTGCAGCCTCGTCACCCAACGCTGGTTTCTGCTGCAACTCTATGATAAAGCCGTCCTTAAAACCCCGTGATAACATCGCTCCTTTCTTTTCCTTCTTCCTCCAGGCGGCTGAATTCTTGCATTTGTTAGCTCAGTTTCACGATATGGGTTTCCAGCAAAATGAAATCAAAGAAGTTCTTTTGCTTTGTGGGAATCAGAGGGAGAAGGCGCTGGAAGAGCTCGTGATGAAAACCCAGTGAGCACCGTCACGGATCCCGGTCACAGCTTCCCCTCTCGGTGTCTCATTTCATTTTATGGACGTTCATCCTAAGCATGTTCCTCACCACACTAAGGCAAAAGCTTTAGAGCAGGAGTGTGGATCTCTTCACCCACACATCCTCGCCCTCGGCTGTTTAGATTAGATGCAATAATAAGACTTGGGCTTAAATTTTGCAAAACCCAAACCACAGTTTTTCTCCCTCTGCCTGGGGTGGTGGGTGCTATGTTTTAAACTACAATAAAATGTAGATTATTGAAAAATTATATAAATCAACACTAGAGATCATTTTCATAAAAACCCCACAACATTTGTTGGTCCTTGCTTAGAGAATAGTCTCAGCTAACTTAGTCATGGTTGAATATTGTCATTGAAATCCAGTCTGATCACATTAGCTTTTCTTTTTAAACCAGAAACTTGAGAAAAATACAAAATTCAATGAGGATAAGGAAAGAAAACAGGCTGCCCTTGGACTAGAAATACATTATCTAGTGCAATGAAAAGTGGTTTATGTAAGGGTTTGTTCTTGGGGAATTTAATGAGATCAGAACAGAGATGGGAAACGGCTTGGCTGCCCTCGTGCTCTGCCCAAGTCAGGAAAATTCAGGGGATGCTTCCCCAAACTGTGGGGACAGTGGCTCCAAATGAATTTAAGCACAAATGTCAGGTTCAGGAAAATCTGGATGCCCTGGGGATCTGTGCTTGTAACTGAAAGATGGAGAATGGGAGATTTGGGTCACCTTACGGGATGTGTCTCTTGGCTTGGCAGTGGAACAGGGACAGTGTTTTCGCATAAAAATGTATTATTTTCCCCCGAATTAGATACGGATGTAATTTCTTTGAGTAAACGTGGTTGGAGGGGCTCTTCTGAAATGTCTTTGTGTCTTTTCCTGTGAAAATGCCAGCTGGCCCAACCTTAGCAGAGAAAACCCTTGATTAGTTGCATTAGTACCATTTTTCCATTCCATTCTCCCAAAGGATCTCCCAGCTCAAGTTAAAACCACCGTGTGTCCCTTCCTCCTCCCGTCAGGAGGGTACGAGCACCATCAGGAGGGTGCAGCCCCCCCATGGCTGCCTTCATCCTCACCCAGGTACAAAAAGGAAATTTGGCATCCAGATTTGACCCATCCACTCCCAAAGATCCTTTATCCCTGCTCTTCTTTAACGGCCTTGAAAAGGAGAACGTGGCACCTTGCGTGGCCACCGGAGACATTGGCAGGGAGCTCGCCGGCGCTCCTTGGAGCTCCCAGCACTGCTTTTCCTCCCGCTTTCCTTTGGTTACACAAGCTTTTATTTTTGATGCGGCCCCTTATAAGGCGAGTCCGTTCGACAGACAGCTTCTCGTTACGTTTGGCCTTGCCAAGATGATGTCACCTTAAAAAAAAAAAAAAGAAAAGAAAAAGCAGCTTGCAAAAGGTTAAACCGTGATTACATAGATCGCTTCGCCTCGAGCTGTGATCTTTGGCGGAGTAACCACCCCGAAGATTGAAAGGGGGAGATAACGGTGCCGCGCTGGTGCCAGTAATGCGGAACGTCGAGGGCTCCATTCCGGCGGAGCGAAGGGCGTTGGCAGCGTCGTGCCCTCGCACTGTGCAAAAGCTGAGCCGCCTCCCTCTCCCATTTGCCAGGTCCCAGCTCCTCGTTTTTACCCCCTGCTTGCAGAGGTAAGAGCTGCGTCTTTTTTTCCTCCCTGGGCACCTAAAATTACAGAATCTTGGGATCATTTAGGTTGGAAGAGACCTGTAACATCATCAAGTCGTGATCCCAGGTTCACCGCTACTGCACTTAAAATCTTAAAGCTTTCTGCATTTTGTTGGCAATTTATCTTCCTAAACCCCTGAAAAGGGGAAAAAAGTTGGCGAGTGAAGGTGGGGGGAGAGGTTGTATCGCTTGGTGGTGTCGGGAGCTGGAGAATTATTTTAACTTTCTTTTAATGAAGGCTTTAAGCTGTTTGTTCCACTCGAAATGGTTTTAAAGCAACGTGCTTCCACGTGCTGCTTTGGATGAGGAGAAGACAGCGTGAAACACGAATTGGCTTCGTCCAGGAAGGGACCAAGGATCTGGCTCGACGGACTTTCTGCTAACGGTCCCCATCCCGGGGGTGACAGCGGAGTGGTGGCCTGGCCCGGTGGCAGAGGGCAAACAGGGACAGGGCACATCGAGTGGGTTTCAGTCATGGCAGGGGTGTGAGCTGGGGTTTTCTCGTTTGTTTTGGTTTTTTGTGGTTGTGTTGTGAGGTTTTGTTCTCGAGTGCGGGAACTGCTCTGAAAGCGAACTTGGCGAGGGCCGGCAGCGGAGGTATTTGAGGTGTCCCGGCTGGTATTCCCTTCCGCTCCGTCACGGGCAGCCCGAAGGCCCGGCTGAGCCATGTTCTGGGTCCCGGTCCCCGTGGGTCTGCCGGTAGCGCTGCGTTCGCACGGGAGGGCTCTGCCT